AAGGGCACTCCCTGGGGGATGGCATTGTGGCACACTGTGCTGAATACTGGCGTCCTATATCAGAATGCCAGCTCATTTCCCAGCTGCTCTGCTTCCAATCCAGCTTTCTACTAATGTGCCTGGAAAAGCAGCAAAATATGGCCCAAGTGCTTGAGCCCTGCCACCCACGTGACTTTAACCTTGTCCAGTCCTGTCTGTTGAGTGAAACAGCAGATGGAAGATTGTTACTCTCTGTCTCTCACTCTCCCATACCCACTCTGTATCTCTGCCTTTCTAATGCATAAATCTTTTTAAAAAATCATACTCCCTTGGGGCCAGCACTGTGGCTCACTTGGTTAATCCTCTGCCTGTTGTGTGGGCATCCCATGTGGGTGCCGGTTCTAGTCCCGATTGCTTCTCTTCCGGTTCAGCTCTGTGCTGTGGCCCAGGAGGGCAGTGGAGGATGACCCAAGTGCTTGGGCCCCTGCACCTGCATGGGAGACCAGGAAGAAGCACCTGGCTCCTTGCTTCGGATCAGCGCAGTGCTGGCCATGGTGGCCATCTGGGAAGTGAACCAATGGAAGGAAGACCTTTCTCTCTGTCTCTCTCACTGTCTATAACTCTACTTGTCAAATAAATAAATAAATAAATAAAAATGACACTCCCTAAAAAGTGGCTACTTCGAGAGAGGCGTCATTAAAACCATAGTTATTGTTTGTATATTATGACCTTGTATCCCTAATCAGTGAATATAGTAGATTAATTTCACATATTAGCATAAAAGTGTATGGAATAAGACTACAGATATAGTATCTAGCTATGGTGCCTGCATGTGAATAGCTGTGTTCAGGCTAAGAAGATAAGACTGGAAAAATTAAAGGATGACGCAAGACGCAAATGAAGCTCAATTATGTTACACGAATACTCTATGAAGCCTTCTTATAATATTGGAACTCCAGTGACCTCCTGTTTTTAACAATGTTTATACTTCATGGTATGTTAACATTGCATTGTTCCCACATTGTGTTAGTGTAGCTTACGATAGTTTTGTCTTTACAGAAGAGATGTAGTTGAAGAATAAGAAACTGAGGCACAGAGGTGTTAATTATCTTGCCCTAAATGAAAAACTGGTAAAAGTCAAAGCTGGGGCCGGAACTCAGGCAGGCTGGCTCCACAGCAGGTGCACAGCCCAGTCGTTAGGTGTGGCTGTCGCTCTTATTAAACCTTGCTGACTTCCGTTTCCCTGCTGGTGAAAGACGACAGCTACTGACTTACTTTGTGAAGTTGCTGTCACAATTAATAAGAAAAGTACATCTGAGATCTTTGTAAGCAGCCGTTCTTCCATTGCCACATCATTATACAGGCTCAACTCAGAGAGGAACAAAGGTTTCACTCAGATTCCTGTAGAGAGAAATTGTTGTTACAATCGCTTGCTGACTTTTCAACCTGAAAATGCGTGTGCTTGCTCCGATTGCACAATGCCCAAGCCTTAAAATAGCTTGCGTTTGACTGAGAAAGATGGCCTGACAGGGCACAGCGCAGGGCTCTGAGCTAGGGCAGCAAGGGCTGCCCAAGTCATAGAATTGGACACACTGCTCCCGGCTTGGAAGGGAAGACCCGCGATTGCACCTGCTGGCGTCTTCCTGTGGGTGCGGTGCCGCCAGGCCTTGCGCTGTGTGTGTGTGTGCACGGCAGCCTTCTGCATCCTTGTCGGCCCCTGTGCCATTGCCTGCATTTTTCCCACCAAGACTGCCCTTGAGCAGCACCAGAAATGAATTGGTTTCTCTAATGCAGAAGGTAGTTGCGCTTTTTTTATATTGAATGCATCCTTGGAATGACTGTGCCTGCAGTCGCCACATTAGCTGCAAGTGACCTGACGTTGATCTGGCGATGTGACTTACAGTGCAGACTTGCAGCAAGGGGACAGGACTGGCTGCCTGGTGTAAGGAAGAAGGTTGTTTTTTTTTTTTTTAATTTTTTCTCTCATCTTGCCATTTCCTTCAGAAATTGCTTCATCCTTGAATGTCATTTTAAAAAACATTCTGCTATAGTAATTGCTCATAGAGCAGCAGATTGCCTCCTTCTGGAAAATATAACGAGTCTTTCCCAGAAAGTGCCCTCGAGAAAGCACTGGAAATTGAGTAAAACCCACCCAGTAATCACTCTGCTGCTTGGAAGTACTTACTGCCATGCAGATTCTGGCTGGGGCAAGACAGATGTGGCTGAAGAGGATTAAGTCTTTAAAAATATCTGGGAAATACAAAATATTTACTTAGGTATCTGTTTACTTGACCTTGATGTTTTGTTACAGTATGTACACAAGCATTGTTGTTCAAGGAGGTTGAACTGGCGGATGCAGAAGCAGCTGGAACTGGTGGATGTAGAAGCGTAGATGAAACTCTTCGCTCAAGTGTGTGTAGGGTTTACATTTCCCCACCATTGCTCTTGTCATGTTTTTAGTAACAATAAATCTCTTGATTCATGGTTAGTTTTTATTCTATCTTCTTCACCTTGCTCATTTTGGCCCATATCATAAATCATTTTCGATAGGAGTACAATCCATAGGCATTAGTCTGAGGGAGAAACAAAAGCCGTTCATTTTGAAGGTTCGGAAAGAAAATAAACAGTTCAGAAAACCAACAATGAATGAGCTTCCTTTCAAACAGAAGGAAAGCAATTTTTTTTCTTGAGTTTTTAATATTAGTTGCATGCACATTTATCGAAGCAATTGGCAGTTTCAAGAATTGAATTGAGAGCATCTATCAAAACCACTTGTGATTGTTGAATCTGTACAGAATCAATAGTGAAGCTACAGAATGAGGGTTAGCATTGGATGTAGTGGACCGACTGCAATTACTGTTGTTGACCCTGAGTTAGAGCTGAGTAATTCTGCAGTGTCCTCCGTGGAAGACAGGGAGTCACTTTGGTTCTCATCAGGCAGGAGAATCTTAGGGACTCTGTTCCTAGAAATGACACTGAGGAAGAATGCAGAGGGAATGAAATCTAGCCTTTCCTGGAAGCCAGCTCTTCTGTGTTCTGATGTACCATGGCCGGCGCGGAAAGCCTGGGCGTGATTGAGAAGGTTCCGACAGACATTGCCTGGACGTGGCGTGGTGCAGCCAGTCGGCCTTGCTGGGAGGGGATGCACCGTCCTCCCACAGGACTTCCAGTCCCACTGCAGGGGGCACCGTTGCAGAAGGCCCCCCGTCCCCCACTGCATCGCCGTCCTTCATCATAGAGATTAAACTGCACATACTGCAGAGTCCTTTACTGCAAGTCACTCTCGCATGAACGTTGAAGTTTTAAGGACAGAAGAAAAGTATATTGTATTTTGGTGGATGTGAAAACTCTACCTTACCTACTTCATTCTGTATCAGTTTGCTTACATTTGAATGTTTCTTTCCTTTGTGTGAATCTGAAGATTATTAATTATAACTATAATTAATGAAATAGTCTTTCCTTTTGAAGGAAAGGTATGTTTTGTGGAAAATAAGAAGAAGGTGTGTGTGTGTGTGCACATGTGCAGATACATGCACAAACACATTTTTTCTTTTTTAGAAAAAGGAAATTCATTCCCCACCCCTGTGAGATTTTTAAATGCTTTGATGATAGGTTACCTGTTAATGACACATGGGACATTTGCTGGACCTATTATTATGTGACACAGCTAATGAGCAATTAGCTTTGCTAATGGGTCATGAAAAACAAGCGTTTACATCCTAATTCATTTTATCATTTCTCCTTTCTGCAAATGTTTTTGGTCTAGTATCTAAAGAACCTTAGACATTAGGAAGGGGGGAAAAAAAAGAGAGAAATCTTTCAGCCTCAAGAATTTTAAAGCCTAGTGGGAACATACAGTGACACAGTGATGGGGGGAAGCAGGGGCAGCCACGTTCCCTCCAGGGCCTCACGGGGTGGGCACAGAAGCAGGCTTCCAGAAGAAGGCGTGGGACTGCACGTGGGAGATGCTCCCCGATTGGAGTCAGTGCTGGCACCATGGGTATCAGGGTTGAAGAAAAAAATCTAAACCCATCAACAGACATTTGGATCTTAGAGCTTCTGATTTAGACAAACTTGAAAAGAACACATTATTTTACTTGTTAAATATGTGTTGTGTCTGTGGAGATGTTAATACACAAAGGTGCTGATTAAAGGTGATCTTTATTGACGTTTGAAAACCAGTGTCCATATTTGACCTGCTGAGTGACCTTAAACAGGTTGATTCAATAATCAAATCAAGCACATTACTGATGTTTTTAATTGAAGTACATTTCTTCTGATTTTTACCTCCTAGACCTTGATGTTAACATATGTGCATCTGGGTGGATTCCAAACCTTAACTATTGTAAACTGAGCTGAAATGAACAAACCCAGATGTCCATCAACTGAAGACTCGATAAAGAAATTATGGTATACATACACTATGGAATACTATGCAGTAAAAACTTGAAATCCTGTCGTTTGCAATAAAATGGATGCAACTGGAAACCATTGTACTAGTGAAATAAGCTAGTCACAAGAAGACAGATGCCAGATAGTCTCTCTGATCTGTGGTAACTAACAGAGTACTGAAAACGTAGTCCATAGAAGTGAAACTGACACCTTGAGATGCGATGATTTTAACAGCCCTCTCCTGGACTGTCAGGAACAGGGTTTTTCTTGCTTGTTTGCTTGTTCTAGTTCTGTTTTTCTTTTTTCTTCATAGTATTTGGTGAACTCTCTACTTAGTGTAGAGTTAATCTATGAGTACAAAATTAACTGAAAATTGATCTCTGTAAAAAATAAGAATTGGAAAGGAAGAGGGAGGAAGAAGAAACATGGGAGGATGAGAGGGAAGGAGGGAGTGGGGGAAGAATCACCATGTTCCCAAATTTGTACATATTAAATGCAAGAAGTTGTATTCCTTAAACAAAATTTTTAAAATGTGGGAAAAATATATCCATCTTCTGCTCCTGGTAGACTACGTGCATTTGAATGTGGTATTGCTGGGCGTGCTAAGGAAACCCTTCTCCTGGTTGCAGGTCACGGATATGATGCTGCAGGACAAGCCCTACCCCGACTGGGGAAAATCCGCGAGAGCCTTCTGGAAGAGGGGCAACGTCAGGATCACCCTGTTCTGGTAGGACGCGGCTGCGTTTGTCCACCTCTGCCTCGGGTGGGATTCCCTTGGGTGTGTGCAGTCCGCCCACAGAGGCGTGCTCAGTTAAAGCCACTCTCCTCATGATCTGATGCCTGCATGTTTGCTTACGTGTTGTTGCGTGCACGCACTTATACAAGAGAGGTCTGTCTAATAGAGTGATGCCCTGAAGTTTGACCAGAGCTAAGTGGGTTTTTGAGTAAGCAAAAATAAGCTGTAATTTTCATCAGGGCAATCAGGGTAAAAGCTGTCTCCTCTGAATACTAAATTGCGCAGTGTGTTTGACAGGGTATGATTTTGCTCTGACGAAACAGGCAGAGGAGGGGCCTCCCTGGTATTTCTTCTTCACATAGATTCCTTTTGGCCCCCAGCCCAGTCAGGGCAATTAAAAACTCAGTCGGGTCTCCTGGGACTGGCCGGTGTGTGCTTGTGTTTGCACAGGCTCAGGTAGCAAGGGCAGGCGTGCAGATAGCCTGAGAGGCACTTGATCTGGCCTGGCCGGAGGGCCCTCTGCCTGCTCTGTGAAGCTCCTGCACCCGCACCCGCGCTCAGAAGTGCCCTGACGGTCGTTTGTGCTGATGAACTCTGTCCTGTACACGTCCCTTCTGAAATGAAAGGAGAGAAATCGGTTCATTCTTAGATTTAATTCAGAGGTGCTTTTTTACGTAAGAGCTGCAAACTCACAGCAGCTAAGCAGGTGGAGGGAAGTAGACCCTCTGTCGCCTCTTGGCTTTAGCACGGTGGTTCAGTGCTGTTAGAGATACGTGGCATTTTGAACTCAGTTCTCAGCAGGTAAACAAAATGAGATTTTTGTTAATAATGGAAAAATTGTAGGTGTTTATTCCCACTCTGTTTCTAGGGGTCAAGTGTGCCATTTTTATTTGTTGTTTAACTTGCCTGTTTCTTCCAGTTTATAAGCTCCTGGTATAGTAGAGTTCACCTGAATGCTATGTAGTATAGTGATTGTAGCAGCTATTTGTTTGGGGTTTGCTTTGCTTGAGGCCCTGGCTAAGGACTGCGATTCTGCTATTTGGCTCTAATCTTGATAGCCTGTGAGGTGCCTGCCGCTGCTACAGGCTGCATCCGTGCACACATTTCCAGATGGGAATGGTGTCAAATAAGAATGGAGGTTCTGGGGAATCCCCCTGCCCTACAGAAATCCTCCCAAGCGTTTCAAGAATCAGTTTTGCAAGGAGGGAGATCACCCTGGCAGCAGCAGTGTTACGGGCTGCCTTGTGTTGGCTGCACACGGCCCTGGGCGAGTGCTCCCGCTGCATGCCAGGGTCGTAGGCCCTCTGCCCTTGCCTTAGTCACGTGAGGGCCCTGCGTGCTGTCTCAGCCCCTCTCTTGGTCACAGCTGCTCTCCCGGGGCAGGGTTGCCCACTAGGTCCTCCCTGCCACGTCTCAGCACCTTTTTCCTCGAATGTTCCGTCTCCCACAGATGGCTTCATTTGGCATATGTTGTACCATGGTCCCAACAAGTAATCTAAAGCATGTGTTTGTAGATGGAGAATCAAATTTTTATTTCATTTTTAATTTGTATTTCTTTATTTAAGAGTTGTGGGGAGGAAGGAGGGAGAGAGAGACCTTCCATCTACTGATTAACTCCACAAATGCCTGCAATGGCCAGCGCTGGGCCAGGCTGCAAGCAGGAGTCAGGAACTCCATCTGGGGGGCAGGGACCCAAGTACTTGAGCCCTCATGTGCTGCCTGCCAGGACACGCCTTAGTAGGAAGCTCGATTGGAAGTAGAGTGACTGGGACTTGAGCCAGCCCTCCAGTGTGCGTTGTGGATGTCCCAAGTAGTGATGTTGTTACCAGAGAACGGCAGGGTTCTTGTCTTCGCACAAGAAAGAATTCAGGCGTGAGACAGAGAGCAAATAGCAAGGTTTATTAGGGCAGGGACATCTGTAAGAACGGATGGGCACCTCTCCAGACAGAGCCTGAGAGAGAGTGTCCAGTCACTCAGACTGGGGGAGAGCAGGGTTACATGGTTGAGTGGAGAGAAGACACCTGGGCAGGCCAGGCGGGCGGCTCAGCAGAGAGGCAGAGGGCTGAGCGCGCAGTCTGGTTCAGGCCGGGGGTTTTTAAGGGGATGGGCCTTGCCTTCCCACTTCTCCTCCTGGAACAAAGGACTTTTTGGATGTAAATACGAAAATTTCCTTTCTGAGTTTTCCCCCTGAAGTTATCAGACAGGAGGAAGCCTGGCTGGCGTTGCCCCACCTTAGAGGAGCCCTAGAGGAAGGATGGTCATTGGGTAGAAGGGGCAGGGCAGGATATTTCAAGTGCAGATACTGGGCTGCAGCTGGAAGGTTATGGGGTGACTTTGAGATGCGGATGCTGGACCTAGATGTCAGCTCCTTAGGCCTTTGTCACACACACATAAGCTCATATCTGACTTCCTACCTAACATTGTTATGGCCTGGACCATAACGCCTGCCTATAAAGCATGTTTAGATGTGAAAATAATCATTTACTGATTCACTGATAAATAGATAGTTCTTAAAGGAAAAAAACTAAAACTCATATGTATTCTTATAATCGTGTTTTTAGTAAAGTTATTAGTAATTAGATAATATATTTGGGAGGTGGGTTTTCATTCTTACAGTTCAAAAATATAAAGTTATTATGAACAAAAAATAAGTGGAAAGTTTAAAAGCCAGTTTACATTTTTTTTCAGTGTATCCATTTCTGTACAGTTAGATTATCTTGGCACAATATTCGTGATTTTAAAAGAGGAGTATCTGGAGCCGGTGCTGTGGCACAGCAGGTAAAGCTGCCGCCTGCAGTGCTGGCATCCCATATGGGTACTGGTTCGAGTCCTGGCTGCTCCACTTCTGATCCAGCTCTCTGCTGTGGCCTGGGGAAGTAGTAGAAGATGATCCAAGTCTTAGGTCCCTGCATCCCTGTGGGAGACTGGGAAGAAGCTCCTGGCTCCTGGCTTAGGATCAGTGCAGCTCCAGCCTTTACAGCCATTTGAGGAGTGAGCCAGCAGACGGAAGACCCCTCTGTGCCTCTCTGCCTTTCTGTAATTCTGCCTGTCAAATAAATAAATCTTAGAAAAGAGGAAAATCTGATGCAAAAAGTTGAATATGGAAATATGTGGGTAGCACAGAAATGTTCTTTTCTATTCATGCTTTGCAGATAAAAGAGATTTAGCAAGCATAAAGGCCATTTGTTTTTCTTTGTAGCCCTAGGAGATGAAGTACAGAAATTATCAGCAAGGTTTCAGATGAGACAAAAGACAGTATTTACACACTGTGTGTCATCCACTCAAAAGGGGTGTTTTCTTTTGATTCTGCTCTAGTTAAGGAGAGGGAGATCAGTGTGGCAATCTGTGGCAGAGAGGAAATTCTGAGAACAAGCCTCTCCTGAGGCGCCAGGCACTGCGTGCTGCCATTTTAGCGGAACAGGGAGCACTTTGGTTCCAGAACCTTCCTGCACCCACCTGCAGGCTGCTGTGCGCTGAGCTGTCCAGGGGCCCTCGTGGCAGGTTGTGGGGAGCAACTCGGACTAGACTAAGTTACTGGAATTAAGACTTATTCTATGCATCTGCTCTCCCACAATATGGCGCTGAGAAGGGAGAAACAGCTTCTACACAGCTGCCTCCAGTTCAACCAATAAACTGTAGGACCTGCTCCTGATTGGAGGAGAGCAGCGTAGTCGGCTTGTGGGTAGCAGAGTTGGGATTGGTGGAAGAGGACTATAAAGGAGGAGAGAGACAACATGCACCAGGAACATCTAAGAGGAACATCTATCTGAAGGAACACCTGTGCAGCCCCCGAGAGAGCCGGCCGGTGGTGTGCCGCTCCCCCGCGGAAGTGGGGAAAGTGGCTAGGGGGAACCGCCCTTCCACGGAGGTGGAAGGGTCGGTAGCCAACCCGGGAAGAACCAGCAGCAAACCCGGGGAGGGCCGAGCAGACAAAAGAACAGCGCAGGGTCCTGTGTCGTTCCTCCACGAAGAGGGGGAGCGACATAATGGTGCCGTGACTCGGATAGGAAACTTAAGAGGCATAATGGTGCCGTGACTCGGATATGAAGCCTAGGCAGGGTTTAGTGTCGTTCCTCCATGAAGAGGGGGAGCGACAGCAGGTGTGGCTCTCTTGGTGCTGTTAGTATTAAGGAGGGAGAGGCACTCTCCTGTGGTTAGTGGAGGAGCTGGTGTAACAAGGGACTGGAGATGTGCTGCACTGTCCAGACTCCTGGGAGGCATCTGCATTTTGGCCCCTCTGATCACGAATGCTGTGACAGTGCGGATGCAGGTGGCCTGTGCCACATCGGAGCAGAGACCTTTACTATCCAGTGAGTAGCACAGAAGGGCGCTCTTTCTTGGTAGCAGTTACGGAAGCTTTTGCCCAACTAGAGCCTCTGTCGTGCCGGTCATTTGGGAGTGACCAGGATAAGGCCAGCATCGTGAGTGGCTCAAGGGACATCCGTGCACTGAGAAATAAACATTCGCAGTGTCAGGTCACAGGGGGCTGGGGTTTTGTTTCTGCCACATGAACTGGCCATCCTGGTATATGCACAAGTCCTTTCTGAAGATGAGGCCGCCACACCAGACAGCTCATCTTTGTGTCTTCAGGGTGGGGCAGCAGACAGCCAGGAAGGAAGACCAGGACGGAGACTCACAAGACGATAACATCCCCACGTGGTCTGGTGCCAAAGCCCTGGGCAGAGACAGCAGCTTGTGTGTTGCCCTGTGTGTGTCTGAGCAGCGTGCACCTCTGTTCCATTCTGGACTGTGTTGTAAAGTACTTTCTCTAGGACTGTAGTGGTTTGAATGGACATCTGTTGATTTTGATAATCTTAATTCCTTTTTTAAAGATTTATTTATTTATTTGAAAATCAGAGTTAGAAAGTGTGTGTGTGAGAAAGAGAGAGAGAGAGAGAGAGAGAATGAGAATGGCCACCATGGTTGAGACTGGGTTGGGCCAAAGTCAGGAGTCGGGAGCTTCATCTGGGTCTCCCAGTTGGGTGCAGGAG